TGGCTGTTGCCTTTTTTGTTGGGTGATGCGTTTCAAGGCCTCGCAGGTAATCTTCGATACTTAATTTTCGGGACATCTTGTTAAAATAGGAATGATAGAGGGAAGATAAGCATGGCCTTGGTGCGAGGACGACACATAAATCTATGGTTGTGAATAGTCAAGCAGTCATCATAGCCCTTTGATAGCCTGACTGTTATGTTCTGATGTTTGTTGTCCTTCGGTGGTGTTGTCAAACTGTTTGCCAGGTTCATGATCAGAAGGAGGGTTCACAGGAACGTGTCATTGAGATTACTGGTACGGCCGATCAGGTGAGCCAATATCTGTGGACTGGAACGACTCTTGCTAGTTGATGCCTGGGGGCAATGGGGGCATGGCTTGCGTGCATCACGAGGGAAATCGAAGCACTATGTGCTGGTCTAAAGCCTATGCTGACATGGGCATACCTTTTAACTGTTGTCACGCTGTGTTCTTGCAATTGCCTGTGTTCTTCTATCCTGTGTGCAGTTGCGGTTGCAGTTCTGTTGGAAATTTTTGAAGTTTCGCAGCATTGCTTAATGTGTAGATGGAAATTCTCGGAGCGTTTGGCCCCTGAGGGGGTTGGAATGCAGTTTTCAACCAGAAACAATGGGCATGTCTCAGTTACCTCTCATGGACTGTGCCATTGTGTAATCGATGTAGACTCTCGGTTGTGGGGTGGTCGGTCATACCCTGCAGTTTTCTCATGTGATGTGATGCTACTTGATTTTGCCTGTTTGCTTTGGACATGGTGTATTGTGCTGGCGGGCGGGTTGTCAATATGCCCACCCGCCTGCCTGCGTTGTTCTCTGTGCCAGGCCACCGCGTGCGCACATTCCTGTGGATGTGCGAATGTAGAGGGTGGAAGAAGGCGGAAGAAACAAGACAGTGAAAGGACCTTTGGGGAAAGTCAAATAATGTTTTCATCTTTTGAAGAAGTGCAAGAACTACCATGATGTAATGACATGAGAAAAATGTTGCTGTGCTCACTCAATCGGCGAATGTTTTTACTTCTCATGCCTGCCCCTTTTTCAAGTCTCAGTTTGTTTGCTACATGGAAACATGCAAACAGTGCTCCCATGACTACTGTGCACAGTGGACTTCTTACCCTGAAAACAAAAATGCTATCCTTTGGGTATGCAATGATACACAGGGAAAAGCAATCTGAAACTTTGTAAGTTGGACGGGGAAAAACAACGTGGAGGTAACATTTTCTTCTGGCTCGCGTTGCGAAAACCTTGGCTTTCCAGATGGTTTTGCAAACGCATGACAAAAGCACAGAAAAGTTCAGAAACACGTGCAGAAAGAATGGATACAACAAATCCTTTGTGTTGGTTGCTTGTTGTAATGTGGAGAGAATGGGTCATGTTAGAGTGGATGGTAATTCCACCCGTGGTGGGTGGAAGGTATCGTATAGTGGATGCCTTCTCTATTTATGAAATGTACAATATTCTAACGTCTGCATGGCTGTAGGATTCTGAAACTATTTGTGAACATGTTCTAGTACAGGTTTGCCTCGAATGTGTTCTATGTCCATGCCCCTGCTGCCCAGAGGCTGGTTTGCACAGTCACTGGGTTGCCTTTGTCTTCCATGCCCAACCATTCTCGATAGTCAGTATGTGTTGCGTCTGCAGATTTATATCTCGCAGAGCGTAGTGTGCGCGGTTATCTTCAACGGCCTTTTCTTTTGTAGTGTTGTCCTAACTTGCAATGATGAATTTGTGTTGTATGTGCAGGTTTCTGCGGCGCAGAGCCTAGTGCAGGCGTTTGTGCTGAGTGCACAGCAGGTTTCAGTTGCGACTGGTGCTAATGCCCAACCAACCAATTTTGGTGGTGGAGGTGGTAGCAGTGGACTGTATGGATCGTTTAGCGGGGGAATGGGAGCAGGCGGGTTTGGCCATTGAAGGCACCGAGGAGTATGATGGGGTGTGAAGTGGTTGAATCTGCGATGCGATGGTATAAGGTAATACGAGGCGAGCGGAGCATCAGTGGGGAAGATGGGGGAGAAGTCCGGGATTGGAGGATGGCTGCCAGACAGAGAATGGACTCTCAGGTGTGTTGTGATGCCTTGTCGCAGACCCCGCAGCCCATCTGGAGCAATTCTCCCTCCCCTCCCATACATACTTGGTTCCCCTCTCCTTCGGCATGTGAACCAGCGTCCCAGCTTTCACGATCATTGCTTGCGACTTGTGGACTCTCCCGAAGATGATGGACACCCCTGCATCCCAGAGGGGTCAACCAACACGATTACCCTGCTGCAGCCCCCTGTGATTGGCGATTGGATCAAGCAAGAAAAACCCCAACACGGATTTGGACCCTTCTTTGTCATCGGATCAAGCAAGCCACCCATCTTGGATTACCTGTACCTTGGGCGAATCGACTTCTCCTTCAGTGAAACATTGCCCTGTGTGGCTGGTGGTACGGAGTGGAGTGGTCGACTCCTGCAGAAATATGGGTGGGGGGGGTGTGGGGCGTTATGGGTCTCCTTGTGCTGAGCCATGCCCCTGTTGACCCATAAAACCTCCTGATGGTCCAAGCCCTGTTCTCGGGACCTGTTTACGTTGTCGGAACGGGAACACTTTCTTCCATCCCCAATCTGCCCCCGGCTTCCCCTCCCCTTGCCGAGCTGCGTTGCCACTGGCATGACAAGGGCATCGTGTTGTCCATGCTGCATATCTTGAGGACGCATGGTGTTCGGAGCCCTCGTTCGTGTGTGTGCTGTTATCAGCTTATGTTGGGCAAGCAACCTTCAGACAAGCTGTTATTTTGCCCTCATATGAAATGGTGCTTGTAGATGATTGGAAAGGTCGAATAGAAGGGAGAGGGAGTGCGGGGTCTTGTTTTGGTAGCTGTGAAATTGAAAAGGCTGGTTCCTGATTGGTAGGGGGATTCGAGGTGGATGTATGTGGTGTCATGCAAAGGGAGGTGCCCAGTTTTGGGAAGGTGATGGATAAAGAGCTTAGGTGTTGTTGTGAGGGGCGAGGGGAGAAGGTATGGGATGAGGACCGAACGAGAGGTGCAGTGGTGGTAGAAGAGGACAGATGGAGAAACGAAAATGGAATCGTAGAGAAATTGAGGGTGGTGATGTGAGCATGAGAAAGGGAATCGCTTGTTCTGGGAACGCCCATTTCTCTGTTCCCTTGTCTGGTGCATCCACAGTTTTGGTGCCTTTGCCTTTTGTTGTCACGGAAAGAGACCAAGTGGCGAGTCTTCCTCTTGTATGTTTGTAATATGGCCGCCGGAGTTTATATTCCATAGAGTACTTCGATTTCTCGCCGTCTGTCCGGTTTTTGTGTTTAGGTGCTATCTGAAACACGCTCGCTTTGTTGTCTAGTAAACGCAGTTTTATGTTTTCAGTTTGTCAGATTGTTATGGGATCAATTTCATCTGTATTTTGTGGAAACTTTCCTTGGAACTTCACACTATGTCGTCATCCATGTCCATGCTGGTGGAGTTGGTCGTTTCCTCCGGTGTCAAGAATGCAGTGTCCCTGTCTGTCTGTCTGTCTGTCTGTTGGTGTAGTTTGAGAGGACCTCGTGTATGCAAGAGGTGGAATCGCATAAAAGGGAACAGGAAATGGAAGTAATGTTCATTCAACGAGTAATGAATAACCTCGTTGATACACCGACAAGAATGGGAAAAGAATGTTTGGTGAGCTGCATAGTAGTGCTGTGTGAATTGTGTGTTGGCCTGTCTGTCTGTGTATCATGAGAGATTATTACCAGATGGGATCATCCCAAGTTTATCTAGGTAGTCTTTTTTTTTCACGCTCTTTCGGTTCCTTTCTTAATTAGTGAACTGCGGGTTCGGACTTGTTGCATCGCAACAGACTAGAATAAGCTCGCAGCCATATGCGTTCATTGTCTGAAAAAGCTATCGGAAAGCGTGGCTGGTTATTGTATGAATTATTAGGCACGGAGGTAAATAGCATGATTGCCTGGTGTGAATGTCTCCTCTCATTTTTATTGGCTGTGCAGCAAGTTATGATGTCGTTCTAATGCCTCGGCACGATTGCTGGTATGTACGTTCTAATGCCTCGGCACGATTGCTGGTATGTACGTTCTAATGCCTCGGCTGGATTATCATGATTGTTGATCTGAGAACCAGGTTGTAATTGAAATGTGTGCAGTTGTATATGGTGAATGCTATTTTGGTCTTTGTGCGGCCATAGTCTGTCTGACCTTGGTGGTTGCCTTCCCGACTAGCCATGGAATATTTCGCGTTGGGCTTAAGGCTTTTACCAAGGTTCCTCCCCCTTTGCCCTTTTTTGCCTCGTTAAAACGTCAGCGCTTTGGGGAGGACTTATGTGAGTTTTCTGTGTGGACCATATGAAGACGATTTTGGTGTTTCCCATGTTTGCGGATGGCTGGTATTCATGTTTGTTGAGCACTTGTTGTCAGAACTAGTCCTGCAGTTTGTCTGATATATGGAGAAGTAGGTTAGGTGCGTGTTCTAGGACCATGGATGGTTTGTTTGTGCATGGAAGGGTTTGCGTTGGAGTAAAACCTTGGTCTGTTTCATGTTTAGCGTGAAATGTATAGGCTCTGTTGAATTGGACGCGTACTCTGTCGTTGGTATATTATATGTCATCGGTACGGTTGTCATTGTGCAGAGTGTATGGCATCATAGAATAGTCTTTTTTTATGTATTAAACGTCCATTCCTAGTATTGGTTTTCTCCGTTTCGGTCAAGGTGAATTACTTGTGCATTGGCGTTTTGTTATTCCGTGTCTGTTGGTAGCATTTCTTACAGCATCACCAGGGTTCGAAAGTCTCGGTTCTCCTGGTTTCGAGAGATGTTTTCAGTTGATTAAATGAACTTTTCACCCTTGCCTGTTGATGCCCTGCCCATACCTGGAATCCTACACCTTCCGGCTGTTCTCTGTGGTGTGGGTACAGGATGCAGCCATGTGATGACTGCAGTGGTGGTCAATTTGGAACCATTGCCAGCTGACTATTGTGCGTGGAAGCCTCGGTAAATCATGGTGGCGGATTCTTCTGCTCTGGCTTTATCATCAATGTGCTTCGTCCTTCTTGACAGTAATTGCAGGGCGCGCATTGGATAAGGCAATGAAGTGGGTCGSGTCCAGGCGGAGATCTTCGTGGTGGCGGATTCTTCTGCTTTTGATTTATCATCATTGCGCTTCGTGCTTCTTGACAGTAATCGCAGGGCGCGCATTGGATAAGGCAATGAAGTGGGTCGTGTCCAGGCGGAGATCTTCGTGCGTACTGACATTCCGTATTGCAGTGGTACCTTGTGGAGTTGCAGCCAGGGAAAGATGTTGTGCGTACCGATGTAAGATGCTACACCGGGACCTTGCGGAGTTGCGTCCAGGCGACTGTGTAAATCTGTTGTGGTCAGTGGAGGTCTACACGTCCTCAACACGTTCTGCAACTCTCCGGGTTAGTGAACCGGCTACTCGTGTACAGCCTATGGACTTGATTGCTTGCTTGTGAGATGTATCAGGCCAGAGTTCACTGGTCTTACTTAAGTGTTTGATCTGTAGAAATACGCAGGAAAGAATGTCTGCAGGTCTTGGCGTGTTGAAATCACCACCAAATGCAAGTAGGTACCAGCAGGGTCTCTTCCGTGCTGTTGAATTTCATGAAGCCGAGTGGCGAGGATGGTATCAGATCGTTTTCCAGGGTGGTCGACGTGACCTCCAGCCAGCTGAAAAGGATGTGCTGAACGGCCAAGTAAAGTGGCCTGCTAAAAAGGATGCGCTAAAAAGGGTTGGGTGTTGGTGGGCATTCTTATTAGTCACTCTGCACTGGGGGTGGTTATATGTGCTTCACCGTGGCTGCAACGAGGCGGGTATTGGAAATTTTGTGATGGGTTATTAACACTGCATCTCTTGGAAAGAAAGCAGTTCCAAATGCGTGTTCCGTGAGGCGGCCATTCCTGCAAACGAAACTCCCAAGCGTGCGCCCGGGCTACCACACCGTGCGGCGCCCTGTCCCATTCGTTTTCCTAACCGTCCCGGATATTCCCTGGGCCCAGGGGAAGCGTCAGTTGAGGATGGGGTTGGTCTCTGGGAGTACAATTGGATGCCTACCGCGGGTGCGGTGTGGGTGATCCTATCTGGGAGATGTTCCCTTTCTGTGGTGATGGCTGTGTCAGTTACCATCGGCAATGTTCTCATCTTCCGCTCGTCGTTTTCTTTGCCCTTCACTTTTTGTTTCGCATTCTTCTTGGTGCCTCTTGTTTGTTTCACATTCTTCTTGCAGCCTCTTGTTTGTTTCACGTTCTTGTTTGTGCCACTTGTTTGTTTCACATTCTTTTTGGTGCCTCTTGGTGCTGTTCTCTCTCCCAGGTACATGCACACACCTGTGCCCCCACACACACGTGTAGCGCAACCATAGTCTGCCGCCAGTGCATGGTTGACTATATCCCCAATATGTGCTTCGTTGTGGCTGTCGTGGGACTGGTACTGCGAAAAGAATGTTGCGACGAGGTGGAGACAATCTCTTGAAAAAGGGGCTGCTCCACAATATGTTTTCTTGGGGTGGTGACTGGCGACAGAGGCCGTTTTCTTGGCTCGAGTTTGCACCACAGTTTGTGTGAGGTGTTTGTTAATGGCGGTGTCAGTTCCATCGCAGTATTCTTACATCGCTGATCTCATCTTCCCTTGCCCTCGCCGATCTCTCCGCCCCCATATTTTGTTTCGTATTATACTCTGTGCTGTCCTCTCTCTCTCCTAGAGGGCACCTTGCACTCGATCACAATTGATGGGGCAAGCTGTGCACGTGAGAGGCACAGTCAAAGGGGAGGCGGAGCTGCAATATGAAATGGAGGAGAATCCGAAAAAGCTGTTTACGACTTTGGATCTACTCGTCTGGGTGGGAAAGGGGTTGTTGTCTTGTCAGTTTCACACAGTGTAGTGTAACCACCGTAAGGAGCATATGTCTGCAGCCAGCACATGGTCGACTTCGTCCCCATGACGTGTTGAATCAGTTCTGGACAGGGTGTTGTTCCTTCTTGATTGCCTCTGAAACCGGAAGAAGCCATTGAGATGGTGCAGCTTTGCCGTTGGTACTTGTACACTCTGTGCCTTGTGCCTATTTGGAGCAAGGACTACCGGTACCGTGTGCTGTTTATATTTTAAGCTTAAATCAGCAGACCACTAGCGCCACTATAGGCACAGAGCTTTGTTGTGTTTGCGCATGAGCTCAGAGCCAGGTCTACTTACTCGGGCTAGTATCATGAGTTGCTATGGTTATGGGCACTCACCACAGCCTGCAACGTGGTGCATTTCTCGCTCTTGCTCTCTATCCCTCTCCCTTTCCTTGTCTCTGTCTGTCGGTCGGATGATTGAGCGGAGAACCCAAAGGCAAACATGAAAAGAACTGCGGGAAAATCAATCTTCGCTTCGGGATTGGTTTCGGAGCTCCCATAGTAGTCTCCTGTGGACCCTCGGTCAACCACAATGAAAGGGAGCGAAGTATCTGGGTTCCAAATTCTCGTTTGCAGATGCGACCATGAAAAGGCGAACCTGGATGGTCGTTTGGACGGCCGGACTGTCAGTCTGTGCGTTGGTCTGTTTGGCGGTCTGTTTGGTCTGTTCAGCGGTCTGTTCGGATCGTCCGTTAATCTGTCCTCCGGTCGTTTGGACGGCCGGGCCGTCCATGTGCCCGTCTGCCCGTTCGTCTGACTGTCAGTCTGTGCGTGTGTCTGTTTGGCGGTCTGTTCGGTTCTCCGGTCGTTTGGATGATTGAGCGGGCGAGCGGGCGGACCTGGATGGTCGTTTGGACGGCCGGGCTGTCCATGAGGCCGTCTTCCCGTCCGTCCGACTGTCAGTCTGTGCGTTGGTCTGTTTGGCGGTCTGTTTGGTCTGCTCAGCGGTCTTTTCGGATCGTCCGTTTATCTGTGGTCGTTTGGACGGCCGGGCCGTCCATCTGCCCGTCTGCCCATTCATCTGACTGTCAGTCTGTGCGTGTCTGTTTGGCGGTCTGTTCGGTCT